AAAGAAATCAATATGTTGATGATGAGGCAGAAAAAAGTTAATTGCATCCTTACATAAAATGAAAATTTTGTTATATGTCATATGTCAGTGAAAGTGTCAAATGTCAATTCAGTGTCAAATATTATAATTGCAAACTATCATTCTCACTTGTCACCATCACTTTGTAGCACTTGTATGTTGCCATCTCCTCTTTCAACATTTTGTAAAAAATTGTATATGATATGATAGTACCTTTTAGAACAAAGTATGTTACCTACAACTAATATCATTTTATTATATTTTTTCTTTTAATAGTGATAATATTATAGTATAGTAAAGTAATTCTAAATCTTACATTCCACTATAGGGTGGCCTAAAAACCCCATATTTTGCACTAGCTAATGCAGTGTTTTCCAAGGGGATATTATTCCTCATCACAAAGTGATATTGGGTAGGTATCCATAACTCATTCTTGAATTTATTGTATATTCATACATGCACATTTTCCAGACCCGCCGTTGGGCAATTTCTATAGTGCTCAAGAAAAGTTCATAAACCCATATAACCATTTGTTTTGTCCAAGAAAAAGTAGCATATTAAACACCGAATGTAATAATATTTTGTGCTTTCAAGTAGTCCCACCATGTCAAGAACAAGATCTTGCAAAAACATGTGATATTACTCTTGAAGCGCTAGAGGCAATCTCTCTTTAGTAGAAAGATTTGGAATTTCATATATAAAAAACTCTAATTCAACTTCACTAGAGCCCTTAGTAGAAAAAGGATTATTATATGGAGGTGAAGCTGGAATGTTGGTAAAACTTGGGGATGGAGGTGGAGATTAATATGAAATGCTGAGGGCTAAGTACAAGTAGTAGTGACTTTCTTTCGAGCCATTTCAATACAAACTTCCAAGGAACTCAAGGAGAACCAAAAAATTATAATGACTATAACTTTTCTAGATAGTTTATATATTAAGTTTTAGTCTCAAAATGAGGTTTATTTATTATGACATTGACAATATTCAGATTCTTTAAATGTCAGTTTTGGAAATGGGGCTTCATAATCATAGCTTACTTGTAAACATAAGAGCTTCTAAAATTTTAAATTATCGTGTATACACATACTCTATCATTATAATGAAATCCTACTTTGCTACACATATATTCTTTTCTACACATGCCAAATGTCTAAGGAAATAGACTGCAAGGAAATATAGACCACATTATAGTGGTAGAGCACGTTGGCACACTACTATTCTCTTGTGTGAGATTGTCTTTCAGTCTTGGAAATGTAGATAAAGTTGATTCTTTGATGTGATATTACTTTTGAGTCTTTCAAAAGATTTCGATTTCTTTTATTATTATTCACAAATAACTCCCGAAAACTTTTAATGAGGATTCATTGCAAAAATATACCTTGGTCTTATCATATGAGAGGATTACAATATAGGTAGGCAACAGAGTTTTTAATATGAATTAATATGTAAATTACAAATATCATAGAAAGCTTTATGGAATAAATTTCTTGAGGCTTTCCGCCGTGCTATTCATTTCTTCATTTCTTTTGCTTTGGACTATTGTTTCAGAAGTAATAGGAGCATTTTTATCAATCATGATAGTGGTTTCCACATTCCCAGATAGATCATAAAAACTAGGAGTATAATATAAAAATTGTGGTAGTGAAACAAAATTAACATTCTCACATTCTTTTGCACTACAACTCTTACTCACAAATCTTGTATTTTCCTTGCTTCCCATCTTCTCAAGAACCTTAAAAAATCTTTTGAATGAAAGAATAGTATCTATAGCTCTAAAAGTATTTAAAATATTAAGTAGTCAAATTAAAATATGCCAGCTGTAATAGTAGTCATAATAAAATAATATAATTTTATGAAAGATAGGTTCTCGTGAACTTTGTCTTTTTTAAACAATTCAATCTTATAAAAACTTTTAACTTAGATATTTACGTATTTAAATATTTTAAAGTTTGCTTGAACCTTTATTTGTTCAATTTAGATTTCCTTTGTAAGACTTCTAGTTGACTGTGTTGACTTGAGTTAACTTGTGTTGAATTGAGCTTAACTCGTGAGCTCAACTCAACTTTGGACCATCCCCTAGCAAATTAGTAAATTATTGCATTACACTCATATATCCAAGTGTGTGTTATTCAAATTGGCACAAAACTCTCAATTTTTCAACCATGAAAATAATCTAGAATAGAAAATGCACACATTAGCACGTGTATTAGATAAATAGGCACAAATTAATTACTTACTTACATTCACTCCTCACAATAAACTCATTGCAATAATCACAAAGCTGAAGGTAAGAAATAAAAACCTAAGAAAGTGTTGTTGCTTTGCAGCATGGCTGAGTGTAACAAATTATACAATGCCAAGCTAATGCTTTAAAGTACTTACTCATAACAAAACCACTATACTCAACACTTGAAGCATGATGAAGCTAACTTAAAAAAAGGCTTTGCACCATTGCCTAATGCCTTTACCACAACTAGCACACATTCCAATTGTTCACTCTCACCCACTATATATAATGCTTGAAGCACTATTCAGCCTATATTAGGGTGTGACTATGGTGCCATGCTCCAAACCTCTCAGCTGCTAAGGGAGTGCTAGTATGTGGGAAGTGCAAACACTATTGCACGAGAAATGTGAGTACTCTTACACAAGACTAAGAGTGCTTTTGAAAAGAGAATGGCACAGTTTAACAAGCACAAAGAGAAAATTCACAATCAAGAGATCACAAATCAAAGTGGAAAGAGATAAGAATGAATATTGTGGTGACATCATATTGTTTAAAATGATGTGGCATCAGACTTTGGCATTCTAGGCATGACAAAAATATAATACACACAATCACATTTCAATTGTTTTTTAAGCAATCTAAATATGATTGTCTGCATTATATTTTTGTATGCAATTGAAAATAAAACTATATATCTGCAAATGTGTAAAAAAAAAAGATGCACCTAGATTAGTTGGCATAATTGTTGACTGGAATATAATTTTAAAAATAAAGAGCTACATATTAACACCAATAACACAGAGTATGGCATTGGTTTTATAAAAATGCTTAAGTTAAAAATAATTTGTTACACATTGAGCAATGCTTGGTTTGCTTAATAGTAGTATTATTCATATCTATTAATCCAGTTGATCAAATAAAAGTTTATAATCATAAATATGTTTATAAATTATAAATAAAATATTAATCTAAATGAATAATAACTGCAAATATCTTAGAATATCCAAACATATTCTAAGTATATCTACAGGTTTGGTTAAGCAAACCAAAAATCAAAAATAACAAAAAATACAGTTGTAAAACAACAAAAAAAACAAAACAAACTTCTATAATTAATTAAAAAAGTGGTATACACAGCTATAAAGTACACATAAAACCAAACATGAACACAGACTAAGCATTTTACATAAAAACATGGAAAAATCGCACACTATACTACTATAAAGATTAACCACAGCAACTAATCAAGATGAGGTTGGGGGAGCTTGTAAGGAGCTAGCTATGTCCAAATTCTTGGACATGGTCCCTAGGCTGTTCCTCGCTTTATTTCTATTTTCTAACCACAATCCTATTGTAGCGGATCCCGAGTTTCAAGCAAGACAATATGCATTGAGGTTCGGATATGGTGATTCTCGCCTGATCTCGAGGGCCATTCTAAAGCTCATCCAGTCAATTTCAAGGGAGAACTATTACACTTATGGAAGAAGCTTCACATCAACATTCATGGCTGCATCAAATTTCAACTTCAAGGTGAGTGTTAGGCTGTGGCTGTTTAGCGTGCACGGGAACGATGGAATGTGCTATGTCACACCAGATTCTTCTCAGGTCATAAGTTCCCAGGCACTAGTGAATGCATTCTTGGGTCTCTATAGTGTGACCTCCCAGGAGATTGAGAGCAGAGGCTATGGCCGAATTCTCTGCGTCTGGAAGATGTTTGCCATTGACTATGTATCTTGGTATGGAAGGTCAGAGAACATGGCTTCTTCGTCTCTTGAATTGACAGAAGACCTTCCAGACGAGCCAGTGTTTGATCATTCTCGTGACTTTAACCGCACTCTCTTCGACATTACCACGGATCCCAGCTGGAAAAACTGCTGGCCTTCTCAATCCAACATGATCGGAGGAGCCGACGCTGCCTTGGGCTCATACATTGGCAGGCAAGGCACGCTCGTATCTCACAATGGAAGATACAGGGCAATTATGCAACAAGATTGCAACTTCGTTCTCTATGATTTGCGTAGAGACGTGAACAAGGTGGTGTGGGCAAGTGACACTTTTGAGAAGGCCAAGGGTTGCTACATCAACCTCCAAATGGATGGAAATCTAGTGATGGTTGATTCCACTGGAAAGTGGGTTCTATTTGCTTCGAACAAGTACTGCCCAAATCAGCCAAATTGTGTGGTTACTGCTGGCCTCTCTGTCACAGATGGTGGCTACATCGTCATCTGGGAGACTGACTATCAAACTGAGCTATGGCGGGAACCCAAGTAGAATCCTTCAATCAAATAAAATCAAATAAAAGCCAACAATGTTGAATTCACTGCTGTGTATCTCTTCCTCCGGAAAATTGCCTGTGCTATACTTTTTGAAATCCTTCAATCAAATAAAATAAAATAAAAGCCAACAATGTTGAATTCACTGCTGTGTATCTCTTCCTCCGGAAAATTGCCTGTGCTAATTATCGAGCTGCATGAGTGGATGATAACAAAGTGATAATCGATTTTTGGGCATTTCTTAAAATGTGGTTATGAAGTAGAAGAAATATCTACTACTATAAGGAGCAAACGCCGAACTTTGTGGGCCGCCGGATCTGGCCAATCGGGGCCGTCGGATGTGGGGTAAACTGGTAAATATCAGTTTCTTACCACACGTCCTTTTGAAATATTTTTGTGAGGTTATGGGCTGGCCAGTGGGCACGCGGCATGGCCCCGGCCAGGGGAGGAGGTGTGAGCGACACCCGTCTGCTTGCCTGGTAACGCTCTCTTTTTTTCACCACGGCTCCTCCCAGCCACGGGGTTTCCAGGGGAAGCGAGAGAGGGGGCACTGCTGCCCAGCAGCAACCAAGGACAGGGGATCGCTCGGCATCCCTTTTCCAGCAGAAGGAGCCCAAATCGTCCGAGCAGGATTTTGGCGACGAGCAGCTGCAATGGCGTGGCCGGAGGCATCGACAGGGAAGCAGCGGCCAGGGATTTTGCTGGAATGGATGGCGAGCAGCGTTGCAGAGCCTGGAGGTGTGGACGTGAGGCACAGGAATTCCTATTTTTGATCCAGCAGGGGATTCGCTTTCATCACGTACAAAAGTGTTGACGACCCGAGGAAAGCTATAGATGATCCCAACAAGACAACAGTGGTAAGCTTACCCAAACATACCATGGTTTTTACTGACGAGTCTATTCTTCCAGGGAATGCACGTAATTGTAAAGTGAGCAGCAGATGGTCGGCTCCAGAGCACGCGACGAGCAAGTGGTACATCGTTCCATCACTCACCCACACAACACACACAATAGTGTTGCGATGGGACAGGGAGCACAAACTCACGCAGTAAGCAAAGCATTATCACTTCATTATAACGTTTAAGACACTAACTAGCACAAACATACATATAGCTTTTACAACAGTAATATCAAGAGGCTATAGAGTATCGACATCAAACAAATCTTAATAATCACATTAAACAGCAGTCAATTTCGAATTCCTATTTGCCCTGTTCACCTCAGATTTGCAGCACACTTGCTAGCAATTACCTATATAATGATACATCTGTTTTGACAATGAATATAGGTCCCCTATCATATATTTGTAAGTATTGTCATGCCTCACACTTTGCCAATGAGAACAAGTTTATTTGTTACTAGAGTGGATAGGTCTACCTGCCTCCAATACCTTTTCTGTATTCTGTATATAACTCACACAAACACTCTAATTTCAAGAGTAATATAAGACAATGTAATAGTGTTGCTTTCGCATCTATGGGAGCTAGCATTGATACTTTTACGGGTCATGGTCCATACTGCTATAGAATTCATGGACAAATCTATCACAAAATTATGCCATAACATCCTTCAATACATCAAAATCCAAGTTACAGTCAATTGTACATGCTAGATTCCAATGAGGCTACTGATATTAGAAAACAAAACCCTTTTAACATTAACTGTGATTATAATTTACTGCTTCAACTAGATATGATACTTTGACATATTAATCCATATGCACAAGCTTTTAGAATGATGTATGAATTGGAATGAGAAAATATTTCAAGAACTATTATTTATGGTAGCAATTTACGTGGAGTATATATGCTCATTAAAAATGAAGGCACAGACCATCGTCGATATAATACTCCACAAACTAATGATGTTGCAATAGTTTTCCAAAGTGAAGATGGTATGCCACCTTTTGACTGTGAAATATGCATTCATCCAAAATCATCAAAACCACAACATATATCTATTTTAAATGCTAATTGTGATCTTATGGTTTATCCATTGCTTTTTCCACATGGAGATAGAGCTTGGCATGACAAGCTTTCTTCTAACAAGCATGTAACACTCTTTCAATATTATACATATCGTTTGTCCAAAAGAGATTCAACATTATCAACCTCTACAGTTACATATGACCAAATTTTACATATTGGAAAACTCACCCAACAATATATTATAGATGCCTATGTTAAAATTAAAAGCAACAATTTACAATACTATAGATCTAATCAAAAAAATATAAGAGTTGATTTTTATACAAGTTTAATGGATTATGTTGTTGGCAAAGCTACTAATGCAAATGCTCAATCAGGAAAAATTGTTATTTTACCTTTTACTTTTACAAGAAGCCCAAAAGCTATGCAACAAAATTACCAAGATGCTATGGCAATTGTAACAAAATACTCAAAACCTGATATTTTCATAACTTTCATTTGCAACCTTAAATGGCTTCAAATATTACAAAATTTGCACCCTAATGAAGGACCTGAACACCGACCTGATTTAGTTGCTAGGGTTTTTAACATGAAGCTAAAATATTTTCTTCATGATATTACACAAAATAATATCTTTGGAAGATCTATTGCATTTATATGTGTCATTGAGTTCCAAAAAAAAGGTTTGCCACATTGTCATTTTCTAGGCATATTATACAATGAAAGTAAAATTAAAGACCGTGACACTATTGACCAATATGTATTTGCTCAATTACTTGACCTTTTATCAAAACCCGAATTATTTGAAATAATCACATCACATATGATACATAGTCCATGTGGATTACTAAATCCTCAAAGTCCATGTATGGAAAACAAAAAATGCTCCAAAAACTATCCCAAAAACTTCAATGACGGAACTACATATTGTGTCGATGGGTACCCAGAATATTTTAAGCCAAACAATACCTTCCTTAAAAATGATGTTCCAATTGATAACAGATGGATTGTCCTATATAATAAATATTTATGTAAAAAATACAAAGCCCATATAAATGTAGAAATATGTGCATCAAATAAAAGTATTAAGTATCTTTTTCAATATATTTATAAAGGATATGATTGTGCAACCATTGAAATCCAAACAGCTACTCAATCTGGAAACGTATTAAATTGTGATGAAATCACAAATTTTATAAATACCCGATACATTTCAGCATCGGAAGTTATTTGGAGGATATTTAGATTTAAAATACATGAACGTTCACACCCTATAATACGTCTACCCGTACATCTTCCTGACTTCTAAAATATGTATTTTTTACAGAAGGCTTAGAGCACAATGCCTTGCAAAGAGCAGCACATAATAGAACAATGTTAACAAAATGGTTCGAACTCATTATTCATTATCCGAATGCAAGACAATATACCTTTGTTAAAATACCTTTACATTATGTTTTCAATAAATCTGCTAATGTATGGCAATGTTGAGAAAAAAAAAGGTTATTCCTCGACTATACTCAGTATCTCCTCTAAATATCGAGTTGTACCACTTATGTAATATTCTTCTTCATAAAAGAGGTGCGACATCCTTCGACAATATTAAAATAGTTAATGATATAGCTTACTAAAGCTTTTAACAAGCTGCTATTGCTATGGGTCTTCTTGATGATGATAATGAGTGGTAACTGTTTACAAGAATCATGCAATTTTCAAATGCCTACACAATTGCGTCAACTTTTTACTTTCATATATATTTTTTGCAATTCACAAGACCCATTATATCTTTGGGATATTTTTAAGGATCAGCTCTCTGAAGATTTTGGGAGAATAAATATTGTATGCCAATATAAACTTGCTCTAATAGACATTAAGTCAAGAATGAAAATACATGGTAAAACAAATCAATTATACAACTTACCTATCCCAATCCTAAATACCTTTATTCAACCAATATTAAACTACAACCATTTATATATAAAAATTTACCATCATATTAGAAACTTGAATGTTGAACAATTAGCTATATTTAATTAAATTGTTACCATTGTCAAGTGCCCGACCAATACCAACCATTTTATTTTATTGATAGCCCTAGCGGTATTGACAAAACATATTTATTAAGTACAATGGTAAAGTATTTTGAGTTCTACAATAAAAAAATGGTTTGTATGGCATTGCATATTACTACACAATGGACAAATGTCCCATGCAACCTTTAAGTTACCAATTCTAATTAATGATACATCTGTTTCTGGTTTAACACCTAATAATAGTGCCAGCAGATTTATGAAAGCAATACAAGTGCTTATTTGGGATGAAATTAATATGGTTCATACACTTGCCTTTTCAGCTATTGACCGCTACTTACGAAACTTGAAATGAAACAATTCTCCATTCGATGGCATTGTTATTGTTATAAGTGGTGACTTCTGTCAAACATTACCAATTGTCCCACACAGTCATTAAGCATAAATTGTTTCCACATCTATAAGAATGAATAGTCTATGAAATCTATTTAGAAAGTTCTAATTGCAAACAAATATGCAACTTGGCCCCAAGTTCCCAAACTGGGCAGAATAGCTATTGAAAGTTAGTGATGGAAATAATTACACACAAAACCCTATTTTACCACTTGATTTTATCCTTTTTCCTTTAGAACTAATTAAAAGTACCTTTATTACTAATTTCGTATTCCCATGTATCGAAGACATTTCAAATGTTCAAATTGCAGCAAATAGAGCCATTTTAACACCTCTCAATGATGATACATTTCCAATTAACAACAACATCATCTCTCAATTACCAGGTCCACCTCAAATTTATATTAGCATTGACTTTGTTGATGTTGAACACCTTGAAGATTTCCCAATTGAATTTCTAAACTCTATTACTCCCTCTGGACTACCACCACATAAATTAATACTAAAAGAAGGTTGTATAATTATTCTTCTGAGAAATATGTCTCCAATAATTGGATTATGCCATGGGCAGCTTTATGTTGCACTCTCAAGATGCACATCACCACAACAACTTGCAATTCAAATTGACACAACTCACACAAGGTTGCTTAATTCCATTCAATTCATCAATATTCACCATCAATATTGTATATAAAGAAGCTTTATATTAACTAACTCCTGTCCTACTACACCTTAAAACATAAAAACAAATTATAATAAACTTTGTTTATGTTTTAACTTTCTCTATGGCCCAATGGATAGCAATGGACCAGTGCTAAAGATGGAGGAATCATCTCACAAGGAAATTGTGAAATGTGAGCAAATTCGGTCACAAAGATATTTGTGAGTTTGAGAGGCTTTGCCCAGCATTGGCTGGGCAAATACTAGTGGTGTAATAATTTCCTAGCAATTAATTTCCGCTATCATTGAGTAAACATTCAGTAGACACTATGTTTTGAACAAAAATATTCAAGTGCACGTGGCAAAATACAATTCTTCTGTAAAAGTCAAACACACCAAAGTTAGATTTAGTAAATGCTACTAGGTACAATAACCTTACAATCAATCTCCATTTTTGCAAATGTAATTATAATTAATGGCATTTAGTGTTTTCTCATCCACTCCTCATCCACTCCACCCTAAAGCCTCAACTCCCCCACCCCCATCCCCACACTGGGGATCTTATTGTTGTAGAACACTCACACCAGCCTCACAAAGGAAGAATTTAGAATGAGGTGATCGTGTTTGGGTCTGGAATGGCTGGCGAATCTCTTAAACATGATTATTAAATAATTAATTGTGTTTAAATGTTACAAACATCCCGAAGGAGTTTATCATGCAGAATTCTCAAGCTTCACACTGACAAAGAGAACTCTCGAGGGCTTCATGAAGTAGCCTCTCTGGACCTGCAACATCCAACTTCCATAATCAGAGTAGCAAAAGGCTTACATGAACTCGTCGAGCGGAAGAAGCCTCCGAGTTGAAGCTTCTGAAACTTTGCTTGCCTACGACTGAAGGGACCTCTTCAATCTCTTTGCGGAAACTAAGAGCACGTCATACGGTGTTTCCTCGGACACGTTGATCAGAATCGGGAATTCTTTGCTGAGTACGCTCTGAGTTCCATCGCGTGCCATCGTGTCCGGCTTGTTTCCTGGCTGCCTGCCGATCGAATCTAAGGCCAAGCGCTGCTTCTTCCTGATGCAGTAGCGCAATCTGCACAGGAAACGAGCAAACTTAATACTTCGCACGCTCTGAACAAGATCCAGACAGATTTTTCACCTGCGCTTTGTTCTGCTGGAGGTTGTCCCACAGCGTCGTCATTGCAGGCACAAGGCTAGAGAAAGAACCCGAATGAAGAGTGTAAAAGGAAACAGAAAAACTGCGAGTACCAGAGTTCCATAAGTTTCAAAAGGGACGCCTGGTGTGTCACGCAGTGGTGTGAAGCTGCCAAAGGATGGATTCGCTGCCCCCTAGAGAACCAAGAAGAAAGAAAGAGAGAAACAACTTGTCAAGAAGTTGAGCAGGAATGACTTAACTGTTTGCTTTGATGCATCGCTTTCTCAAACGCAGCCTTTTCTTCGTTAAACACTGTCTGCTGCAAAGAAAGCAGAGGATCGGGAGGAGGATTGGCGAGGTTGAATGTGGACACAGGAACTACTTGCATTGGGATCTCCTTTCGTGAAAAGTCTCCGGAACTGTTTTACGTAGGAAAATTTCAGAACGAGCAGAATGGTATTTACCTCATGTCAAGACTTGAAAGATGCATTGCTTCTTCGATGCCTGGCGAAAGCCGCTGCTCGATTTCATTGCTTGACGAATCCGATATCCTACGAGTATAGTTGATGTCCACAACTGTCTGTAAGAAGAAAAAAGAAAAGAGTTGTGACCCTTTCAACAAATGCTCAAGTACCGAGAGAGACGAGGAGGCTTCATCCACGGAAGACCGTTCCCCGTTGGAACCAAAACCAAAACTGGAGTGCTGAGCGGATGAACTCTGAAAAGATCCCGAAACCTTCCTTTGGCGACCATTGGTAGATTGAAATGCTATGGATTGAACTCGACCGACCTGTTAGAACTGATATGAGGAAAAGGAGCAAAGCAAAAGAAGATGATACCATGTTTGCGTCGTCGTCGAAGCAGGAAAATATGACTCCAATGAACCCAGGATCCAGCATCTGGAAAGACTGCTGTGTTCGAAGATCTACACCAACAACGAAGAACGAAAACTTCTTTTTTTTTTTTCTCATACGCAGGAAGGAGATGAAACTCACCAACATGAGAAGGAAGAACAGTGATGTGCGGATGTGAATGATACCAGCCAATAACTCTGGTCGTGTTTCCAATCGTCCTAGATAATCTGTGCTTCCAGAGTGAAGGAAAAAACACCAAACTGAAAGAAAATAATGTCCTTGAGGATATCTCAGCCAGAGCCATGGTGCTCCGGAGTAGTCTCCACGCGATCCTTGCGTCGATCGGAGCGAGCTTGCGGCACAGCGCCCCAGACGAGAGCATCCACCGTGCCTTTGCTCTTGTCCTGGATGGATCATGGAAGAAATGTCGATCCAGCTCCTGGAGATTGTGAATGGGGAGAATTTCACCTCTTTGATGTCGCCGAGAAGCAGCCCCATCACCTCCTCCGTCTCCGTCGATAGCGCGTGTGTGAGGCAGCTCCTCCAGACCTCATCGCCGATCTTCACGCCCGTGAGCGCCATTCGCGCTAGAACCCTAGATTCTCATTTTATTACAAAAAATAAAAACCAAGAAACGAATATAAAATTAAAATCTTGAGATTTTCCACCAATGGCGGACGTGCCGGAGTGGTTAACGGGTTTGACTCGAAATCAAATGGGCTCTGCCCGCGCAGGTTCGAATCCTGCCGTCCGCGAGACCTAGTTAATAGGTCAAGAATATCCTGGAACATATTTTGATTTTTTTTTTGCGAGGTTTAGGGTTTATCACTGCGCTTGGGATTTTGGCGATGAGCGCGCGCCCTCGCCAATGCTCGCCCTCCGCCGGCCGCTCTCCAGGTTAGCATCGTCCCTGCTCCTCCAGGCGAATGCGGCCAGGCAAGAGGCCTCTTCTAGGGTGATCTGGGCGCCCGTGAGATTCTTCTACAAGGAGGAGCTCCCGAGCTTCTTGCTGCGCGCGGACGATGATCCGGCTTTCTTCCGCCCCAGCAAGCTGGGAGAGATCGGCCTCAGCAACGCCGACTTGATCTCCAAGATTCTCTACGTTGTGAGGCGGCCATACTGGTCCCCAGAAGTGGAGAGGGAGCTCCAGCTCCTGGACATCAGGCCCTCGGAGTTTCACATCAACGAGGTCCTCAAGAACATCCAGGAGCCCGACGTCGCCAATGGATTCTTCCAATGGATTCGCAGGCAAAAGTGGTACGTCCCAAGCACGTATTCGTTCTCCATCCTTCTCAACACCTATGGACGAGGAAAGGATTTCCAGGCCGTCCAGAGGGTGCTGTCCGACCTCAAGGCGGATAAGTGTCCCATGACCACGGTGGCTTACAACACTCTCATCAAAGTCTATGGGAAAGCTCACAAGCTGGACGAGGCCTGGGGATACTACAAGGAGATGCAAGACTCGAGGTGTGTCCCAGATATCTTCACTTTCAACACACTCATGAGCCTCTACTCGTACGCGGGGCAGTCCGAGAAGGTGCTCGAGGTCTACGATGAGATGCAAAAGATTGGCTGCTCGCTGGACAGGGTCGGGTACGAGGTGGTGGTGCCTCACGCCGGGAAAGTTGGAAGGCTCGACCTGGCTTGCATGCTCTTCGAGAGGATGAAGGCCGAGGGGCATCAGCCGAATGCTGTGGCTTACTCGGCTCTCATTGCGGGACAGCTGAAGTCGGGAAGGCTGGAGATCGGGACCAAGTACTTTGAGGAGATGCGGAGCTTGGAGATTCGACCACTTCTGGGAACTTTTGCTTCGCTCATCGAGGCTTACTGCAAGTCGGGCAGGCTGGAGACGGGGCTCAAGTTTTTCAAGGACATGGAGGCTTTCAACTACAAGCCCAATCTGTGTATCTACGCTGCTCTGGTGGATGCTCATGCAAAGGCGGGGATGCTGGACGCGGCTCTAGAGTTTTACGAGAGGATGCGGGGCGTGGGACTGTGGCTTCCGCCGCTCATCTTTGCGGTTCTGATTGAGCAGCACGCTCAAGCGGGAAAGGCCGAGACTGCGGTGAGGCTCTACAGGGAGATGCGTGGGGTTGGACTGAGGCCGTCGCATTTTACTTGCCGGATCGTGGTTGGAGCCGTAGCCAAGGGTGGAAAGTATGACGACGTCGAGAGGATCCTATTTGAGATGCAAGAGATGGGACTTAACGTCGCGGACGCTGTCAACGATAGCATCGTCAAGCTGGTGGACGACAAGAGAATCTCCGATGCCTGGGAGCTCTTTCTCAAGGTCACGGGACATGGATTTACTCCTCACGTCAGCCTCTGCCGGGAGATCCTCCACGGTTTTCTCAGCTGTGGCGACATGGAGCATGCGAGGCAGATGCTCTCCTTTATGCAAAGGCCGGGCTCGGCAGTGGACTTGAGGACGTACTGCATGCTGCTCGAGTTTTTTCTGCGTGGTTCGAGGCTGGAGCACGAAGAAGTGGTCATGAGCTTCATGCGAGAGACGAAGCATCCGGCGCACAGCTTTCTGTGCGGGCTCATGGGAAGCAGCAAGCACCGCAATGGCCAGAGTCTGGCCGACTACATCAAGTCGTTCTACTCGGAGCTGGAAGCCGAGGTGGATTTCAAGACGCGACGCTACCTCACCAACGTGCTGCTCAACTATCTGGTGGTGATGGGGCAGGAGAGGAAAGCTCGCAGCTTCTGGAAGGTGGTCTATCAGATTCACATGTACCCGAACTCCATCGTCCTCCAGGGAGACTTGACGTGGTGCCTCAAGGTGAGGAGCATGTCCATCGGAGCGGCGCTCATCGGGGTGCTGTGCACGCTGGAGAAGTTCCGGGAGAGGATACTCAAGCGCAGGTTCGTTCCTCAGAGGATCAAGATTCTAACAGGGAGCAAGGCGGACTCAGACGCCATCGCCGTCAGGCAAGCTATCGAGGCGATGATGAAGCCGCTGGACTCGCCGTTTATCTTCCAGGACGAGGACCTCGGGTCATTTTGGTGCCGGGGCTCCTTCTTCGTCAAGTGGTTTAGGCAATCTCATGTGAGGGGAATCTTGAGGCAGCAGCTCCCTCCGGAGGAGGAGGAGGCCGCGGAGGCGAGTACTACCACGGCTGGGAAGCTCCTGCTGGTCGGGAGCGATGATATGCCACTGCCAGCGTCTCCGGACCTGCCGTTCCCGGTAGGCGACGAGGATGTTCTTCCGCCGGGGTTCCAGCACGGATCAGCAGCAACAGCAGCGGCGTTTTGAGTTGGAACAGTTCCAGCACTAAGCAGCAGATCAGACAACGCTGCTCAACAGGGAGGAGAAACGAGGAGATTATGTGGCAGCTGGAAAACTAGCTGCTGGTGCTGCTTATTGATTTCATCCTACAAAGGCTACAACTTGGAGGTAAGCGAAAGTGATCAAAAGCGATGCTCATGTTGCTTTCCTTTGTCTTGCTCTAGTATTGGCGTCTTCCGAGGCAGTAGCAGCAGATACCCACGACGATGACGAGAAGAGCCAGGATCGGCAGCGGTATGATCAAGTAGTTGAAGTGCATCGTGACTGCTGCGGAGAGAAATTCGCGAAGAAAACTCTGTTGATGGCTCAGCCGCTCGGTCAGGAACTTGTAAAGCGCCACACTGCCAGATTCTTTCTTGCTGTCCTCGCCACAGTGGTCCCACGAAAGAAACGAGAAGACGCGATAATGCGCATCGCTACAAACTTTTTTTTTTTTTTTTATGACTTTCATCTTTACCTTCTCCAAGAGCAAGTTCTGTGTCTTCAAAGCAAGTTATGTGCTCTTCGTGATCTTCAAAGAAACTCTGATCGAAACTCTTTGTATTGTCACTGAACTTCCACTCCATGCAAGCACGTCCACTCCATGCAATCCGGCTGAAATGGCATGTTGAGGACAAGGTTCTCTGCTAAGGTCGCGAGGCACTGGCTTCTCGCGAGAAGATCGACCATGCAGCAGTAGTGATGCTTGCAGGGTCTTGTGCCGTGATCCACGATCATCGAGAGGAACCATCTTCGTGCAGTGGAGATCTTACCGCTCCGGCTGCAAGTGATGAGCGCTGACTCGAAGAAATGCGAGGAGTCCTCGTTGATCTCTCCGTGCACCAGTGCGACGCTGTGGAAGATCTCAAAGGTGGAAGGATTGAAGAGCTTTGATCTGGCAGTTCCTGCAAGGTAGCCACTCAAGGACGCCTGATCGCTGCCCAGCGGCATTTGATCGAAAAGGGTCTTAGCTCGTTCAAGATCCCCGTTGAGAGCAAATGCTGAGATTAAAGAATTCCAGGAGAAAGTGTTCTTAAGAGGCATTTGAAAGAAGAAAGACTTTGATATTGTCAAGTCTCCAATTTGCAAGATAGCTCCTAGCATTGTGTTCCACGAGACTTGATCCTTCTCAGGCATAGCCTCAAAGACAGATTGACAAGAACAAAGATGCCCACATTCGGCATATGCTGACAGAAGTGTATTCCAGGACACGAGATCACATCTGGGCATTCTAGAAAAGAATATCTCACACAGCACAATATCGGTTGCAATTCCCGCAAGAACAGTGTTGTACGAGAAGAGATCTCTAGCGTACGGGCATCGATCAAACATTTCCTTTGCTTCTTCCATATACCCGTTCAAAGCGAACGCACTGAGCATCGTGTTCCATGCGATGGTGTCGTGCCGCGGCATCCTCTCGTGAAAGATCCACGCCGCCCTGTCCAGATCTCCAATCTCGGCGAAGCTGGCTATCAAAATCGTGCAGGAGACGAGATTGATCTGCGGCATCCGCGAGAAGAAGCTCTGTGCCTCGTCGATCGCTCCACCGCGCGCTAGAGCCGCGAGCATCGCGTTCAGGGACGCTAGATCCCAGCCAGGCATGGCATCAAACAAGGATCTCGCGAGCTCCAGGCTTCCCGAGCTCAAGATCGCGTTGAGTGCCGTGGTTGTGACACAGGGCATTGCATCCAGAGATTGCTTGGCGCGAACAAAATCCCCAGCTCGGGCATACACTGCTACCAAGGCGCTCCATGCGATCTCGTCGTGCTGTGGCATTCCATCAAAGAAACTCTTTGCAAAAGACACAATTGCATTCTCGGAGTATGCCACGAGCATCACCGTCCACGACACGAGATTCCTCTGTGGCATCTGAAAGAACAGCTTCTCCGTATCCTCCAAATGCCCGTGCTTGGCATTTGCGTTGAGCATCACAGTCCAGGAGACAAGATCCCGCTCGCCCATCTCGTCAAAACATTTTTTGGCTTTATCGAAGCACTCCTCAATTGTGGAAAACAATGAGAGGATTGTATTCCACGAGATTATATCCCACGCCGGCATTTGGTCAAAGAGAGCTTTTGCCTGATCCAGATGCCCGTTACGGGCATATGTCGAGAGCATCGAATTCCAAGCGACGACAGTGCAGTTTTCTTCTGGAATGGAGTCAAATAGATTCTTAGCGTCTATAAGACAGCCATTTCGAGACAAGGCATGGAACATCATCACCCACGAGAAATCGTCCTTGTGGGCAATTGCATGGAAGATTTGTCTCGCGTGTGCGAGGTCCCCGCATCGCCCATACATTTCAATCTGCTTGTTCAGAGAAGCAGTCGTCGATTGATCTTTGCTGTGGAAAACAACGGAAGCCAAGTTCATCTGGTTTCACGCAGAAAAGCGAGAAAAATGCCCATTCCTGGCATATATTCCTTAATTTCAGTTTTGTCAAATCATACCATTGCAACTTGTAAAAATTTTATGTCGACTAGCTTTCCCGCGTAAAATGCGATATTTAAAACTTTAGGGCGCCCGATGTGACTTTATCGCGCATTTCCTCCCGGTGGCGCGGCGTGATGGCACGTCCGATCGTATTCGCGAAGTGATATTTTCGATCTCGGTGCTATTCGTTGGTGATCGTGCTCGCGAGCGAAGCTTTGATCGGGTAAGCGGTCGCGCCTAGATTGCTTGGCTGCTTGGATCCCTTGATATTCTTTGTTCTTGCTTTGCGTGGGGAATTTTCTATAGCTTTCTTCTACAAACTCGTGGCCTTCTGGATTCTGTGAGAAGAAATCATGCTTTGAGACTCTTATTTCAGGATTGGTACGATGGGAGGAGGCGCGGCTGACGATTTCGAGGTGGTGGACGCGAATCCTGAGCGCGACTACGTCGACAATGAAATACCTCCTGTTCTTGGCGATCCGATGGAAGTCGTCCAGGTATCACCTCCAGCGAACGCTCTTTTCAACTTGATCGGGGTAAAGTCGGACAAGCAAGACTTGAGCTTCGTCGAAAAGGTGCTAATCAATCGAGAGGACATCTTTGCCTTCTTCAACGCTGTGGCGCCAGGCTCGGTTAAGTCAACATCTAGCGGCCGCTGGATCTTGGATCTCTCTCGGCTGGACAGCTCCGTTCTAGCCACGGTGGGGCTCTACGGGAGCAAACGCATTCTGGCCAAAGTTCTACTGCAGCACGGCCAACTTCCGGAAGAGACGGTGACACAGCTTCGAGAGGACTCCCTTCTGCCTGGACTTTACGGAGCTCTGTTCGAGGAGAAGAAGCTTGTGCTCTTCTACTGGCATCCGGATAAGAAGTTCTCGGCTGCACGACGGGGTGACATCTCTTGCAACTTCATACGCTACCTCTTGGACCTTTGCGACGCGGTCTACTGCTGCATGGAAGTTGAAGATGGCGGTGCGAATGTTTCTTCAGTGGTGAGGGTGGCGGCGAAAAAGAATCGGATCCAGAGGCTGCAGATATCGGTCGTGAACTCGTCGGAGAATGACTTTGGGGTGCTACCAGGCTTTGAGCTGCGCCTGAAAGGTCTCCCACCTGTGGCGTCTGGATACTGTTCAATGTGGAGTGAAGGCTTTCATCGCTGCGCGTTGCTTGTTCCCGAGAAGTACACTCCGGAAACGAAGCTTGTGTCTGGAGAATGGACAGTTTCTCGATCATACGTGCCTGAAAAGATGGCGGAGTGGAAAGATCTCTGCCTCGACCTCAGTAAGCTGAGCGAAATCGGCTTTCTTCTCTTTGCAAACGCAGCGAAGCTGAATGGTTTTGACACTTTGTCCGACAGTCTCCGTGCGCTCGATAGATCCATGGACGTGGAGTCCAGAAAACTCTCCAACACGGAAGACTACCTAACCGTGAGGAAGATATCTGTGCTACAAACTTTGGCCGAGGGGTTGAAGGCTTACCTGAGGCTCCATTTTCCCTGGGAGGAGATGGCCTACTCGAAAGTCCATGGGGAAGTTTCACCATGTCAGCTGAGTGGTGCAAGTATTCTAGAGTTTCTGGAATACTGTGATAAGCCAGGCAAGTCGACTCGAGATTTGGACACCAAGGCTGTGGAGACTTTGGAGTCGAGGCTGGCCAGCGTGCTCAACAGTCACAGAGGTTCAATCGTGTTCATCGGCTCGAGAGTTACCTTTGACATTTTTGGTGGCTCCTACACCATTCTGTCCGCTGATACGAGAAAGTCAGGTCCGGTGCGGTATGGTGACATGCTTTCTGCGGTTAATGAGAAAAACTCCACTGCCACCTTCAAACTTTCTTCTAGTCGCAGAACCGGTCCAGTGTTCACGAACGACAGATTTACGCTGGCCGTCATAGTTGGGATATTAAACTGGAGAGGGTCGACAATCTACGATGTTGGCTTCACCAAGGTCGATTCCGGGATTCACTCATGGATAGATTCGTTCGCCAAGGAGGTGGTGGCTCTGGAGGGGAAAGTTGTGCTTGCGGACTTTGTGATCTCTCACAAAGCCATGCTGGGTATTCCCGAAGAAGCAGATGACGAGGTTCTTTTCCATTGCGTGCTTGCGGATAAGAACCAGTTCCAGTATGCGTCCAATGCGAGGTTATGCGAGGAAAGGTGGCAAGAAATACGGGCTTCAGCTGGACCATTTGTTTTGGAGGCAGAAGACAAGATACTTCCTTGGTGTGCTGAGGTCTACAGAACTGGTCGGATGAAGTTCTTCAGCAGTATCTTTGAAGGCTCCGAGGAAGTTCTCTTTGGCTTTTTGAAGTCAACGGCCACTTCTGAGTTGACGGAGAAACGGGAGCAACTGAAGCAAGCTATCAAGTCCAAGAAGTCCGAATGCGTAGCAGAGTTTCGAGCGAAACTGTGGGATCCCAACGACACACGTCCGAAAGTCTTGTTGGACACTTGCGTTTCAGAGGCTTACAGCGACCGGGTCCAGATTCGTTTCAGAAGAGAAATCACTCAAAATGAGCGTGTCTCCTGGAAAGCTGTCGAGTTGCTGCCTACAAAGAAAGATCTGGAAGTTCAGATGCAAAACCGCGAGCACTTTATCACCCTCAAGTGCTCTCAAAGGTGTGACGTGGTGGACTTGGAAGCTAGCGAGTTTGGACTGTCTAAAGTCGTCTTCCTGAAGTCTGGACAGGTGCTCGTTTTCGTCAGAGGACTCCAGAATTCGCAGCTGAGCATATACTTATGCCCGAGTTTGGGAGCACACTTGAGCGTTCCAAGCTCAAAGATGCGCGTCAAGACTTTTAGCAGGGGCGTGGATCTTGTTGCTTATGACGAGGTCTTGAGGTTCATCGCTCTATACGACGTCTCGGGAGCAATGATCAAAGTATACCGGTTTGACGAGTCGTTCCGCGAGCTGATGTGGAACGGGGTCACGATTCTACTCAGCAACTACAGTGGCAGCAGGAACATCACCTGGATGGAGTTCATACCCGGCAGAGAGGAGCTCTTAGTGGCGGACGAGGACTTCTGTGTCCGGGTTTTTGAAGCGGTACAACCAGGAATGATGAAGCCGCGAGTCATCCAGCTTCCAACTTCGTTCCTGAGGCCTTGCTTGACAGCGGATGGCCTCTGCCTGGTCGCAGTGTGTGGTGGCCCGTCGGAAGTTGGAGCGGCACTTTCAGCTGAAATTTACAGACTCGATGACGGTTTGGAACGCATGAAAGCAGTGGACTTGGGAGTAGCAGTCAAGAATGGGAGTAACTTCCAGCTTGCAGTGGCGAATTTTGGGACGCAGATGCAGATGCTAATCAGTGATGGAGAGGATATGAATGTGGTGCGGTCGCTGTGTCTGAAAGTAACGGTGTCCTCCCAAAGCTGTCAGCTCGTCAGGGACTCTTTTACCAAGGCAGAAGTGGCACCAGCAGAAAGTGAGGAATCGATGTGTCACGAGCTCGACTACATCTACCATGTCTTCGACAAATATGCAGTGAGTCCTCCGCTCATTAATTCTTCGAGGATTCTCCGGTTTTCTTTGGTGGTAGACGTCTTGAGAGGCGACCCGATGTTAGCAAGAAGAAAGCTCACCAGCCATGCGGAAAGAATCGTCCAGCAGCTGGAGAAGGACAAGGGCAAGGATTTCTCGGGCCTGAGGATCCTCTTCGATCTGCAGTTCTTCAGCGACTCAGGAATGCTGGTGCAGCCAGAGGACAGGAACATGAGCGAGTTTCTGCGTCAGTTGATGTCTCTCGTTCCGGTGCAGATCGCTCGAGCTCAAAACAACAACTTGAGGCCTCTGATCGATGGACTGGAGATGGCAGCAGACGTGAGCTATGGAGACGCTATCCAGCTTGCAGGCATCATTCAGTTCAGCGTTTACGATGCTCTTCTCGAAAGCTGGACGGGGCCTGTGAAAGTTATCTCCTCGATGGGGAAGCAGAGCAGTGGAAAGTCGTACCTCTTGAATCACCTGAGTGGCTCGGTCCTTGACGTTGCCGGTGGACGCTGCACGGATGGCGTGTGGATGACTTGCCGGGCCAGTGAGGACTGCATGTTTATTATTCTGGATTTCGAAGGACTTGGAAGCTTCGAGCGAAGTGAGCAGGAGGATATGTTGCTGGCCATCCTGAATGCTGCCATCAGCAACATAACTTTGTTCAACAAGAAGGTCAGTTTGCATTTGTTTGCTAATGCAATGTTACTAAAATGTTGGTTTTTCTGGTCCAGGATTTCCACCTTGACAAGGAAACGGAGGCCGTGTTCGAACGGTTCCAAAACGGTGTGAGCTTGGTGAAAGACGATGACAAGCTCTTCAAAGGACTGTTTTACATGGCCATCAAAGACGTAGATGCAGCTGATGTTGACGATCTTCGCGAAGAGTTCTACTCGAAGATCCTCTACATTTGCAACAAGTCCAAAGACAACTTCCTGACGAGAATGTACGGGGGTCTTGTGGAGATTTCAGCCATGCCACCTTTCAACCGGAAGGAATTCCACGAGAGCATATCGCAGATCGCTGCGACTGTCGAAGGGCTTGATGCGGTGCACCAGACTGGGAAGAGTTTCCTGAGAGATTTGAAGCTGGTGATAGCACAGATCTGTTCCAAGGACTGGTCTCCTATCGACACCAAAAGGATCGGCTTCAAAGTCAGTATGCTGAGGAAGCACTTGAGGACAGCCATAGCTCTGGGATGTCTCGCAGGCGACGAGAAAAGAGAGCTGGTCGACTTTGATTCGGAGGACAAGTTTGAAGACGAGCCAATTCTCGTGAGTGGTCACACGTTCGACGTTCTCGACACACGTCTTCAGCTTGCCGGATACGAAGAAATGGACGTCGCCAACACAGTTTTGGAGAAGCTGATACCGGAGTTTGAGAAGGTGGTGCCCCGCGAAGAGAGTCTATGTAGCGACGAAGAATGGCACGCGTCCTTGGAGAATTTCCTGGGATCTCTAGCAGAGAGACGCAAGACTCGAGTGGCTAACTGGATCAAAGCCAACACCCGTGACTTCTCATCGGACGGTGATGTCCAGAAGCTGCTTCTGGAAGTTACAGCGGCAGTGGCGGATGTGAAAGACAAACTGGCGCTGTGTAGCTGCAAGTGTGGGCAGTGCTTTCTTCGTTGCATCTTGGAGAAGGCACATCCGGGTCATCACAGCTGCAAAGGTAGCCATCGCTGCAAGGAGTACTGCTCGTTTTGCAAGGAGGAGGCTTCGAGTATGGAGCGCTGCGTGGACAAGGCTGGTCACGAAGGTCTGCACGACTGCAAGCTCAAGAGCCACACCTGTGGAGAGACGTGCCACCTCTGGGAGAAGTCGTCCAACTGCAACAAGGCTTGCACTCTCAAAATCGCACACCATGGCGAACACACTTGCAACTCGAAGCAGCATATGTGCAAGGAGGACTGCTCGCTTCCGGGGTGTAGAAATACCTGCGTTTATCCTCTGGCGGTGATCGACCACACTCATACCTGCCACGAGAAGATGTGCGTCAGCGAGTGTACCATGGACGGGTGCAACAGGAAATGTGCTATGGAGGACCACTTCCACTCGCTCAAGGCTAGAGTCCATCTCTGCGGGAACGAGCACCAGTGTCCGAACGACTGTGAATGCAAGGGTAACTGCGTGGTTCTCACTGAAGTTCTAAAGAAGAGTCGCACATTCCAGGGAAAGCGCTCGACCTTTGAGTACGACTACGTCTCCGAGCAGAATGGGAAGAAGAAGCTGTGCTGCATTCCGATACCACCTTTTGAGCTGGAGCATCCAGGCCAGCATTTGCACACCGTCAATCCGGATGCCGTCCACTTCTGCGAGTCGAAATGCCAGGGGTGTGGCTACTTTTGCCACTTGCCAATCGATCATCCAGGACTTCACGATACAACTCACGGCAACATGACGCAGCAAACTTTCGTAGCCGAAAGTGAGGAAGTCGAGATCGAGGGGCGGAAGTACGAGTGGGGAGAGTCTGGTGCGGCTGAGATGTGCATGATGCACTGCAAAGCTAGAGGCCGTGGACATATCCACCTGGCTGTTTGCGAGAAGGACCAGAAGGACGACGGTGTCTGCGGCAAGGTAAAATTTTTGGAAGGAGCTCGTCACGCGACTGTGAGATATGGTCCAGACTTCGACACTCCAAAAGACGAGCTCACACATGCAACGTACTGGAAGAATATGAAATTTAAGGATCCCTGCTCGGAAGACGACCAGAGGCAGTTTGCTCTCTGCGGCCACTGCTGCCAATCTATAGAACACAACGGCAGCGGTAGCAGCTCAGGTAATCTACGTTTCGAAGCTCTTAGTTCGCATGACTCTCTTTTTTTTTTTCTTTGCAGGTGGCAGTACTTTCCAGGCTGCAGGAAAATCGTATTGCATTGAGAAGCTGTGGCACGATCCAGTGCCCAAAGAAATCTCTTATACAGGCTACGTGACTGAAGACGGACACAAGTTTGCGTGCAACCACTCCAAAGACGTGTCCAGCCATGTCATTTTTGTGGTGGATCGATCAGGATCCATGGGATCGCCGGACATTAAACCGAAGATGGTCAAGTTCCCGGAGAACCGTCTCGGCTGCGTCTTCGAGGCCATGGTTCGTTTCATTCGGACCCGCATAGCCGCCAACCTTCAAGACGTAATGTCAGTGGTTCTCTTTGACGACCACGGACAGATCGCGATGGAGCGGGAGCACATGTCCGAGCCTCAGGTGGACAAGCTTCTCACTTTTGAAGACGCCGGGGGAACTGTTTACTCGTCCGGGATTGCTCGCGTTGAAGAGATTCTAGTTCGCTCGGTCAGTGATCCAGCAGTGGCCGGCAAGAGTCCCGCAGTGGTGTTTCTGAGCGATGGTGACAACTATGGAGGTTTGGATCCCGTGCACTGCGTGAACCAACTCAAGAAGCTGGAACAGAGTCTCATCTTTCACACCATCATGTTTGCGACCGATCCGACCAATTCCGCGAAGAAACTTCTCACCGACATGGCTGATGCTGGCGACGGCATGTTTCAAGTGAGCATTGACGAGATCCAGCTCTCGAGGAGCTTCGAAGACCTTGCAAAGAGTCTACGTCCAAAAGTGGCATCTCTCATGTAGCTGACTCAGGAGGTAGGAAGTCTACTATATCTTTTTGCTCGAGATCATACTGACAATCCTTCTCTTCATTCCAGGATATAGGATATGTCGAGCATATGTCAGCGTCTTTGTTATCAGGAAAGCAATCGTAATTTACATTTCCTTTGTCATGTTTTCACTGTGTGTCTACTCCTAGATCGAAGTAAGTTATCCAGAACTCGACTTAGCGAGCAAGCTTTTCTTGAGCCTGGGCCTCTTGAAGCGAAAGCTCCCGTCACCACAAGTCGCGTACAAGTTGGAGAGAGCCACATAGGCGCTCGAGTGCTGCGGATTCATCTCCACAATGCTCCCGGCAACTCTTTTGGCCCGCTCCTCGTCCCCGTGCACCTCACATGCCGACAGCAGCGTCATCCACGACACCTCCTTGTCCTCGTCCCGCATCGCGCTCACAAAGTATTCGGCATCGCCAATCCTCCCGGCTCGTCCCAGCAAGTCGATCATGCAGCCGTAGTGCTCGACGCCTCGCTCCAGCTCGTGATCCACGGCCATGGACACAAAGTCGTCACCACCTTGGCGGAGGAAGCCGGCATGGCTGCTGGCGGAGAGGATGGTGAGGAAAGTTATGGCGTCCGGCCTCACGCCGTCCTGCTGCATCAGCCACATCGACTTGAGAGCCTCGCGAGCGTGGCCGTTGTGTGCAAAGCCAGCGATGATCCCGTTCCAGGACACGACGTCGCGGTAATCCAGAGCTCCAAACAGCGAGGTGGCGGTGTCCAAGTTCCCACACTTGGAGTAGAAGTTGACGAGCGCGTTCGCCACCACCGTGTCCTTCTCCAGCCCACTGTCGATGATCCGGGCGTGGATCATCTTTCCATGGCGGACAGCTCCTCCGGCGACGCAGGCATTGAGCAGCGTGATGAAAGTCACTCGGTCCGGAAGAACTCCCTCCCTGCGCATCCGCTCCGAGAGATCAAACGCCTGCTCGGCTCGTCCGTGGAGAGCGTAGGCCGAGATCATCGAGTTCCACGACGCCAAGTTCCGGTGGCTCGTATCCTCGAAGAGATGGCGAGCAGTGTCGAGCTCGCCGCATTTGCCATACATGTTGACGATGGCCGCGGCGACGATGGGATCCGAGGAGAGCTCCGGCGTTTGATTGATGACGCGGCGGTGGATTGTCTCTCCCTGTCGAAGAAAAGCTCGCGAGTCACAGACGCTGAGGAGGGACATGAAAGTCACCTGGTTCCCGCGGATCCCCTCGAGGAGCATGCGCTTGAAGATGGAGAGAGCCGAGAATGAATCGCCGGCCTGGACGTAGCCAGTGATCATCGTGTTCCAGGAGATCACGTCGCGGGCGGCCATGCTCTCGAAGATCCCGGCCACCACCTCCATGAGCGACGAAGAAGAACTCGAGGAAGAAGAACAGCTCGAGTAGAGATGCATGGTGGCGTTCGCGACGGAGATGCACGATCCAAATCCACTCTCGACGCTAAGGTGGTGGACTGTTCTTCCGGAATCCAGATCGCGTATCTCGGCGCAGGCGTCCAGAGCCATGAGGAAGGTGATGCGATCGGGAGGAACACGCTCGGCTCGCATTCTATGGAAGAGATTCACCACCTCGCGAGCGAGGCCTGACTGGGCATAGGCCGAGATCATCGCGTTCCAGGACACGAGGTCTCGCCTCTCCATCGCGGAGAAGACTCTCTCGGCGTCTCCAACGCCGCCACACCGGCCATACATCGTCACTAGCGCGTTGGCCACCTCGATCTGGGAAAGAAGCTGGCGCTCTTGGATCATCGCGTGGATCCTCCGCCCCTCCGCCAGCGCCTCCGGGGTCGTGACCGCGTTGAGGACGGTGATGAAGCTCACTCGCGTCGGCTCCACCATCGCCACCGCCACCATCCTCTTGAAGAGCTCGATCGCCTCGGCAAAGTGGGCGTTTAACGTGCACGACGCCACCATCGCGTTCCATGACACGACGTTCCTCTCGGGCATGCGGTGGAAGATCTCTCGCGCGCTCTCCAGGCACCCGCATCGCCCATACATCGTCACCAGCGCGGTGCCCAGCACTACATCGCCCTCCATGCCTCGCTCCAGCACCAGCGCGTGGATCAATCGCCCATTGCTTAGCGAGCGCGATCCAATACAAGCATTGAGCGCGCTCACAAAGGTCACCTTGTCCGGCGCCATTCCTTCCAGCTGCATGCTCTTGAGCAGCGCCAACGTAAACGTGTAATCCCCCGACTCGGCATTTGCTGCAATAGCGTTGTTCCAGGAAATCAAATCCCTCTCACGCATTTCGCTAAATACTGCCATCGCTAGATCTGCTCTCTCGCACTTCCTGTACATCCCCATCACCGCATTTGCCACCGGAACGTCGGATTCCAGCAGCTGGAGCGCCGAGACCCGAGCGTGGATCTGCTTTCCATCTTCCAGGAACTCGGGCGAGTCGCAGGCTTCGAGCAAAGCGAGAAAGGTGACGCGGTTTGGGTCGAGAGAGCTGCCCGCCATCTCGGTGAAGAGATCGAGTGCCTGTCGCTGATGCCCGGTCTGGGCATATGCTGAGATCATCGCGGTCCACGAAACAACATCCCTCTCGCGCATCCGATCGAAGACCTTTCTCGCCTCGTCCAGGCTGCTGCATCGCCTGTACATGTTTACCAGCCTGTTGCCGAAGAAGAGCGATCGATCGTCAGCGTGGCGCTGGACGTGACCGTGGACTCGACGTCCCTGTTCGAGGGCTCCCGAGATCCCGCACGCTCGCATCAGCCTGGCGTAGACGGACTCCTCCGCTGCTCGATTGCTGCATCGCCGCTCCAGCCGATCCACGAATTGGGTCAGTAGCTGGATGCTCAGGACGGTGTCCACGGGCCAGTATGGAATGCCGGAAGAAGAAGTCCTCCCAGCCACCATGAACTAAGTTTCTCGAGGAATCGAGAAGAACACAAGAATGCCACAGTGTGATCATGTCAAAAGAACAGGACTTCCAATGGGTGGAACCAAGAGTTGGGGTATATTCTCTGAGTATCAAACCACTTGGGCCTTACAAACCCCTATCTGTTCAACCATGGCCATCTCTTCAAGCATGGCGACGAGCTTCTTGGGCAACAAACTTGGAGCCCATTCGTTCCCAGGTGAAAATCACATCGCTCGCATTGGAATGAGTAGTTTTGCTTTGTTCGAATAGGAGTTTTGGAGAGGAAGCTCCATTCTCGTGGTACCATTGTGGCCATGGCAAAGGGTGGGAAGTCCAAGACTGGCCGCGTGCTAATTCGCCTCATCTCCACTGCTGACACTGGTTTCTTCTTCGTCTCGACAAAGAATCCTCGCAATTCGCCACAGAAGCTCGAGCTCGTCAAGTTTGATCCTCGAGCCGGCAAACGTGTTCCATTCCGCGAGGCTACTATCAACAAACCAAAGTCGAACAAGAAATAAGAACTTCAATTTATCACAAACTTGCTGAATTTCTTTCCCCTTCTTTCAGTCAAGATTCATCGCTATGAAACACATTGTCCAAATCGTCTTTGTCCTCAGGCTCATCGTCTTCTCCCAGACGAGACTCTGTACTCTCATCCTCAGCGTCATTCATCCCCTGTGATGTTTCAAAGCAAAACAAAAAGAGTTAGAATTTTGAGAAGAAAAAAGTACCTGGGAGGATGAATATAAATCAGGCATTTGATTGTTAGGATGCGAGGCCAAGTTCCAATTCAAGCTTATCTCTCGCTGGTGTTGCTCATCTCCATGAGGCTGCTCCATGGAGTGCTCCAAATTTGTATTTGGATTGTGACTTATGTAGATAATAGGATTCTTATTGTCACCTATGTAACAATGTCCACGTCCATTGGCATTGTCAAAACTCAAACCATGAGTTCCAAATAAGTTGAGCTGGGTAGTTTGATAGGGTATGTTGTTCTGTTGTTCAAAATATAATGTATCTGTTGATGATCCTTCCACTGATGTTTCTTCACTGCCATAATAATTAAACTATCAGATTTTACTATAAACTCTCATAAATTAAAATGAATACTTACGTCAAGAATTTGATAATTTGAGGGTCTCTATCTGACCAATGGGATGGAAACGAATTTATTCCTGATGCATGAAGTGGAAGGTGGTAAACTTGCTGAAAATCAAAATTAGAATAGTTAATATAAATTTATTATTACCTGAGGGAGGAAATGTTCAGTCTGTAATATTAAATATGATTTTTATACATATAAAAAATTATTAGATAAAAATTAAAATATACCTGTTTTTGCCTCATACAAAACTCCACGTCCATATTATGCTGTATTTGATTATATTTGAGTAGCTTAAATTATAATTATAATACTAACCTTTCGAATTCGTATATGATGAAGTGTAGTAGCTAATTCTTCTTCAAGTTTAGCTAAATCCTCATAACTTAAATGTTCTAGAATTTGAGTATCACCCTGATAAAACCTGAAAATTATAATTAAAAATATTATTCCAAAATAATTTGTCACATACTTGAATCGTTCAATTAGTTGTTCATTTTCAAGCTGCAGCCTTGCAATCTCCTCTTGAATCATCTGAAAAAAAAATCTATCATTAAACTAAATTATCAATAATAAATACAAATATATAAATATTTATACTCCCAAATTATTAAAGTCAATAGTATTTCTGAAATAATTATATTAAAAATCAAAATTCAAAAAAACTTTTATCACCTGGAAATTTGAGAACCATCAGTCTCTGACTTGAGTTTCTTGATTGCTCTGCTAAGCTGCTCCCAATTCTCCATTTTTCTAAAATTAAAGCCTCTTAAAAAATAAAATCAAATCAAAATCTTATACCTTTTGCTCCTCTCAGCTTCAGATACATTAGCATATCGAAGAATTACATCCTCCACCCTGAACCTTCATGTAAATACAGAGCTAATTAATAAAAAGACAAATTAAATACCTCATATCTGTGGCATATTGTGTGAGTTTTCCAGAGGGGGAGAACATAATGAGTGCAATATCAATATCACATAATGTTGATAGTTCATAAGCCTTCTTGACAAGGCCAGTGCGCCTTTTGGAATAAGTCACCTGCCTGTTTGTAGCATTCTCAATCTTTTTAATCTCAAGCTTAACCCTCCCCATAATCTGCTAGATAGACGCTCCTATTCTTCATTCCTTATCACCAAAAGCCTTGCCCAAATCTCACACATCATCGATTGGATGGAACAAAATGGTGGAGCTACAGAACAAAGAGGAAGATCTCAGACTGAAAGAGAAAAGGAGAAAACGAATTTGTTTTCTATAATATCACGGACTTTTTATAATTCTTTTTCTCAGAAATCAAGGCGGACACCTGTGCTATTGATCGTGGCCACTAATAAATTTAGACCTGGCCCACAACTTCGGAATGAGCTGGCAAAACAGCATATGCCTATCTTTACCAACTTTACCCCGTAACTATTGCCCAGTTAAGTGGAAGTTTTGTCAGCGAGTTTTACAAACAGTCAGCCTTGGAATCTTTTGGGCAGTTCTTCCTCCTAAGTTGCGGGAAGAGAACATTTTCTCGGCAGCTTAAACTTCGCTTCCTTTTTTTATTTGTTCCTTGCATCCTCAGCCGCGCGCCGCCAAGCAGCCTGGCCCAAAACCATAGACATGAGAAAACCTTTACAAAGATCAGCTAATCACTCACCTGTTCGGCTTCGAGCTTGGATACATGGCGTTTCAAAGAGCTCCCGAAATCGAGGCCACCCCAGGAAGTGGCCGACTCTTGCTCCCTTTGCTTCCGCCTCTGCGAGCTGCTGCTGCTGCTACCCGGCCTTGGAGCTGCGAACGATTGCTTCTCCATCTCCAGCCTCGACGCCTTCTTCACGGGCTCTAGCTCCGCGGCGTTGGACATCTCCGCTAGCGGCTCTCTGGTCTCTGGTTCATCCTGTCTGGCTGCAACCATCGTCGCCGCAGCTGCCTTCTCGGCTTCTAGACGCGAGACATGCTTCACCAGCACATCGCCGAGCCCGGCCTTGCCATTCTTCGCGTTAAGTTCCTGCTCGTAGCTCTCTTCCTTGAGGAGTGCATTAAGGCCACGGCTTGCGACCATGGAGGCTAGAGAAGCACGCTGTTCCGGCTGTAGGCTCCTCACCCGGTCGAGCATGAGGCATGTTAGAGGACTGGCCGTCGTCTCGTCGTTACTATCAGCTCGAACCGAGTCTTTGAGATGGTCGGTGTCACCAGCCTCAAGAGAATGATCACCGGCTTCTGAGACGAGAAAGTGAGATATGAAGATCGAAGGGATGGATGACGTTTACCTGTCGCAGGCTCGGAAGTTCTCTCGATCTGCTCAAGGGCACACTTTAGAGCGGCTGCTACTTCCTCGTCAACCTCGAAAGCGGTGTCAAGGGATGCTGTGACTTTGTGCCTGGACGACGGTGTCCCGGCATTTGCCTCTGGCGCCTCACCTCTCAGATTCTGGCTGTTCGTTCTCAGCACAACGCCCAGAAAAGCAGCCTTGTTGAAGGCCTCGGCAGCTTTCTTCTCGGCCTTTTGAAGCTCCAGTGCGGCCGACATGAATGGTAGACTGCTCACAAAAGAACAAACAATTGGTGGTCACGCTCACAAAGTTCCGAAGCGATGAACACTGAAAGAGTTTCTAAATGAATGCTGGTATACGTCTAACGAGCAGACTTCAAACAAGAGAAAAGAGAGAAGCTTTCTAGAGAAAAATGCTGTATGAAAACGAAGAACGAGGAAGAACTCGAGAAAGAAAGGAAATTCCTGGCTGACAAGTAGCTAGAAGAACGAACTAATTCACATACCGGGCAGCTTTGAGAATGCGGCACCACGACGCTTCCACGAGGGCGCTCTTCCGGGTCTCGGTAGCCTCCTGGGCAGCCGCTACTGCCGATCGCTTCTCCTTCTCGATGCGTGAGAGATGGCGGCTCCCTAGTAGAGTCTCATCGAGGGAGGTTGTCATCCCTTGCGCTTCCTGGAATCACATCGAACTCAAGTCGTCTCGCGACCGGCCCATGAAAGCATCGATCAAAGCAAATACCTGGTGAAGCAGTCGAATCTTGCGCTCCAGATAGGACTCCTTCTTGCCCCTGGGGAACCATCCCACCGGCGACCCCTTCTTGCGCCTCGGAACATCGCCGCAATTGAGATTCTCCACATCCGCCATCGCGATTCCCAGCTCCCAATCCAAGCGCGAGCGAGCGAGCGAGCGAGAGACCGAAGATCGAAAAAATTCCCCACACCGATTCTTTAGGGTTTTGCACATGGAGATCAAACGGCCAGATGTTTAAACGGCTCAACGGTCTGATTGAGAATGTGAATATTCCCCCGGCCCCACAAGGGAATCGAACGCCAGACCTCCATTCCCAGAATCGAACACGAAACCTCTCAAGCATATAAGTCAATCACTAAGTCAACTTTATTCAGCCCTAAGTCAACCATACATGGCTTTCGAGTACGTCAACCTAGTCCCCGGTCAAGTCAGCGTCAACGGCGAGGTCAATGACGCTGACCTTGGCGATGGAGTCGACGCCACAGGTATAGTGTGCCACTCTTTCAGCGAGAGCAAAAAGGTTGACAAGGTTTACTATCAATCCAAGCGGGGCACCGAGTGGAGGCTACTCCCAAAGCCTCCACAACCGGATAGCGTGATGGTATACCACATGAAGAGAGTGTTCTTGCTCTCGCGAGACAACCAAGTTCACGTTTTTGATCTCGCCACTCTCGGCCGTGAAGAACCGGCGGCATGGCGGAGCGTTTCCAGCATGCCGGGCTTGATGGGCGAGGAGTATGTTTGGTTCGCGGGCTTCAACGGCAAGATCTTCGTGGTTCCGGAGTCCTGGGGATCCAGCAAGGTCTACGACATTGCCACCGATACTTGGGAGCTTCTCACCACGCGAGGCTTGCAAGTCCAGGAGCGTTACAACTTCTTCCTCTTCAATGGCCGGCCCCTGATGGTGAGCGAGATGGACGACGACCCGGATGATCTGCTCGACGTGTCGGGGGAGTTTTGGGCTAGCGTGAATCTGGGCACTTGGCTCAAGGAGGACGTCGGCCAGTTCGATGTCTCGACCAGGTTTTGCTTCGATATCGAGCTGTGGGCGATCGAGGAGTATGATTTCGTGACGGACGAGGTGACCAGGAGGTTTACTTGCGCGGGAGTTTGTACCAGTTTGATGGAGATCCTGGCGGACCTGGTGTGCGAGGTTGGAGGGTTTAGCGTCCGTGGTAGCAAAGCGCTGGTGGAGATCTACTACAGCCCCATCAAATCGATTGTGTTTGAGGGTACTTTGGACATGGAGAAGAGGATTGTGAGCTGGGAAGAGGTTCCTTTGCCTCCAAATTCTCTCAATGTGGCTCTTACTGCTTAGAACACGCTCTCTTTTCTTTGATTTGCTTTGATGAGGATGGAAAGAAAGATGTTAGATTGATATTCACAGAGGACTAATGCTCACAAACATCGATTATAATGACTCTTAGATTTTTCTATGTATAATCAATGGTCAAAGTTTAGCCTTCTGTGGACGGCGCTGGGAGGGGGACGTGGTCTTGCCACCATAGCTCTCCCGCGCTTTAGCGGCGCCATGGGAGTGACTGGAGCGGCGGGAGTGGAGGAGCTCGCCGGTGGAGTTCGCGGAGAGCCCGGTTCTTCACCTTGCTCGTGGTGTTCTTCGTGAAACTCTAGTCGCTCTTCGTGATGTAGCAGCACTAGCTCCCCCCCTTGTTCTTCTTCGCCACGCAGCTCTACCCTCCTCTCCCTCACGAATTCCTCCAGCGACGCAGCCACAGCATCGAGATCCTCCTCCTCGTGATCTTCTCTTGTTTCCTGTGAAAGCACGGCGGTGGAGGAAGAAGGCGAAGAGATAGAAGAAGTGAAAATGGAAGCCGGATCGCCATAGATATCCGTGAGCTTTCTCGAAGTGGTGGAAGTGGTGGCGGCGGGGCGCTTGGCATTCGTTGCCCGGGGAGCGTCGCTGGGTCGTCGCGGAAGATCTCTACAGCGATAGGGAACGGGAGATTTTTGCTGGCGCTTGGAGCACGGCGCCGGAGAAGAGATCGGCGCGGGCCGCTTCCCCAACAAGGACTCGGACTGCGATTGAGATTGCTTCTGCGAGGCAAGACGAGCGAGAGTAGAATCGCGAGAACCAGGAGAAGGATTGGACGCTACCTCGGCGCTGCTGAAGAGACTCCTCCGGCTGCGCTGCTCCTCCTCCTCCGTCATAGCCATGCCCTAATAAAAAAAAGACGTTGCGCTCTAAAGCAACATCCACCGTCCACGTGGCTGCATGATAGCCGTCGGTGTCCAAAACCCGTTACGTACATCGTCACCGTTAAATTCGCTTTGAAAGGTTACAGTCTAGTCTCACGAGTTGAAGAGCTTTCTAAACGCTCCTTCTCGTTTGGCAGCTCCTTCTTTCGCGGACTCGGCCAGCGCGAAGAATCGTCTCAGTCCTGTGCTAGAGACTGCGGCCGCGGCGGCCGCAGATTGAGCCATCGCTCCTCGTCCGAGCGCTGCTGCTCGAGCCATCATCGCTTCTCTGCTCGCAGCGCTTGGAGTGAGTGGCGATGAAGGTCCCGACGCCGGACTAACTGGCAGCAAAGTTCCCATCCCACGCTTGGTGAAGTAATCCAGCAGTGGCTGTTGGTCACTTTTCTTCAGTCCCTGGATTTCCAAAGAGTACGTGAGAATGTAGCTCTATAACAGAAAGAGCATCACAAACCTTGAGATCGAGTAGACGCTGGAAGTCGGCACCAGAGCCTTCAGGCAGTAGAGCATGGTAAGTGTCAGCGATGGATTCAATCGGTGACAAAATGACCTGCCACCCGAGAAGTGGTCATTGATTCAGTCGGAAGAAGAAATTTTGCGCCTGGCTACTTACCTTCAAGAGAGCCTCCGCCTTGCCGATTTCACGAGTGACATACTTGGTGTAGCTTGCCGGAGCAGCTGTCTGGCCTCCCAATGCAGGGACTTCGAGTAAAATTGTTTTTACCGCTTGTGTATCGAGTAGCATCTAAAAGAGAAACAAAGTTAGCACGAGAGTTTGGTAAAAGAAAACTTACCTGCTGAGCCCCAGTTTCTGTGATGCGTTTGCATTTGTATATATTCATATAAAATCGAGGAGCGAAGGACGCTGCTAACTGTCATATCCACACAGGTATATAAGATCACAAGTACTATGGGTAATGAAGTACCATACCTTGTCTAGAAAAAACTGGAAGTACAACGGAGACAATAGACCAGATATAACTGGAATGCTACTAGACAGAATCGAGCTGATTCCATTAACATACCTGTAACAAAAATACTAAAGCTCGAGTCTGTTTTTAAGGATGATATACTCTTACTCGGATTGATCGCCAACACCTTCAATCGTCCCCCATGGCACTCTTGTCATAGCTGCCAGCTCGTTTTCCAATCGCGTTTCCAGTCCCATCACAAGGGATGAAAGCGCTTTGGTAATCACGCCGGAGAATTCATCCTTCATAGCCAAGCTCGTAAGAAATCCAACACAAATGGAAAGATACCTGTTCTTCCGACAAGTCGATGCTTTCCGCGAACTGAGAATCAATTACTCTGGAAATGTTTTCTCCTAATTGACCAGCCTGATTCAAGAGACAAAACATGATTACAAGTTTTAAAGATTTTAAGTACTCACAGTTTCATGGCAATATTCTGCAGTGTTGACAATATAGCATATGACCCTTTCGTCTTTGTCCGAAACCTGTAAAACTGGAAAGGCTTGATTATTATCAAAATAGAAACGAGTTAGATAGTGTACCCGTAAATGACTTTCCATGCCTGTCGCTACGGCAACAAGTCCCGCGCCAGCTCCAACCTTTGGTAGTCGTCCAATCAATTTACCAGCATAAGCCCTGAGTACTCGTTGAAAGACCTGCCAAAGCGTTCAGTTTCTGATAGAGTTCTTTAATCGAGATACCTTATATAAGCTGAAGAGCGTTTGATTTTTTGTAAGAGCTACACAGCGTTTTAAACTTTTCTTGATCACGAGAAAAACCTGTAGAAAAGTTTTCTTAAGTATATCCGGACAGCTATGTAAAAAACCTTCAAACCTGTGTGCTGCTTGTAAGAATGTTAGTTTGACTACCTTCTTCAGCCTCCCAGCTCTCCTCCTACACATGTATCAGTCAATTCCTAGCTGCCGAGGAAGTAAAAATAGATACTTACCATCACAAGTTTTTCCAAAGTCTCGAGCAGATTCTTTTCTTCTAATTCAACATAAGGACCTAGGTGAGACTCAAAGCATGACGATATGATGCCACGAAAGCTGAAATTAGCTGCTGTCTGTAACAAAGAAACTTGAGTGCTTAAAGATAGTGAACTCGCTACATACCGCTGACAAATATTCAGGTCTTTTTTCTTTTTCTGTTCCTTCGCCATCCTGTCAAATGATTTAGACCACTTCGCTCGAACATGAAACTTGATACTTACAGGGTAAACTTGGCTTGATCGACCACCTTTTACGGCCAGTTGCTTCTCATATTTTCTCCGCAAAGCGGAAGCACTCTGCTCGTCACCTTCACCTTCATCCTGGTCCTCAGCTTTGTCGCTCCCCATTCCAAAGCGCTCAGCAAGCTCCTCCTCAAACTCCAAGGTCCTTTGCAGTGCCTATTGTATAGCCAAAATGAAGTGTCCGTCGCTATTGCAATATCATTTTACCTGAAGGAGAGTTTGAACATCTGGTTGTTCCTTCAAACCATCCAAAATCTCTAGTAATTGTGCCCTGGATACAGAGACCGAGTTCATCAAGACCGAACATACGAAATCCTGCCTTACCTAGTTACTTTACAAAACTGCATACAAAGCAGAAAGGCGACGCGCCAGTGCGCAGGAAAGATCTGCCAGATATCTTCGTTTGCACGGAGCTGTCGTTTTATCCAAGCATAGCGGCGTTCCACCTTATCAAGTTTTGCAACCTCTACAGAATGTAGAATTCCAATCAGCATGCCTGTTCTGGAAAGTTTTACCTGTGCCTTGGAAAATTTGCTGATAGGCAGTCAGTTCTTTACTGCAAATATTGACGATGAGCTCCTCGCGGACAGTCCGCTCCAAAGCATCAACAACGAAGCAAGCATCGGCTAGCTGTTGCATGAGGTTTCCATCTTCTTTCAAACCAGCAGTGCCTAAGCTGCGAAACAAATACAAAAGATGTTAAACATTAAATTGAATTGAAAAAAAAGCCATATCACTTCACACCTTGAAAAATCGTTAAAAACGTGAGCCTTTAGAGTCTCTTTAATGGTCTTGTAGGTACCTCTGAGCTCATTGATCTTAGGAACATCCTTGTATGCCTCAAAATGACCACAAAGCTGGTTCACAGCCTAGCGAAGAAAAGGTCACACAGCTCAATACTTCGTCTTGATAATTACAAACCTCTAACTGTCCGGCGGCTTCTTTGTACTGTCGCTTAGATGCCATTCCCTGAAGTTGCTCCACGGCCGAGACTGCGAAGAACGGAAAACAAAACCGTAAGATAACCAAAACCATTGAAAAACCACAAAATTTACCAAGCATTGACAAACGATGTAGAGCAGTGATAGTTGTTGTGATGTGCTTCTTTGCAAAGTCGAGCTTCTTTATATCACGGCATAGCTCTTGAACCATCACCTCGCTTTGTTCCGCTTTGGACTTGATCTCCCGGATTTTGTTTGCCAATTCCTGGCAAATCAACAAAACAATTCGCTCCTGACTGAAGTGACAGAAGAAATACCTCGATAGCACGCATGGCATCGGCAAGATCTTCTTTAGCTTTAGTCCCTGAGGAGCTCTGTGTGGATATTACTCAGATCCGAGGACAAGCCACTGGATCTAGAACGAACCTGTTGCCGGACAGCAGCAAGGATTTCGGCATCGCCGCGACGAATTTTGTTCCTCAGCTTCTGGATGAGCGGCTCCACAGCGATCAGCGACGCCTCTGCAGCTCAATCAAGAGCTCAAGTGATCGATCTATGCAGCGAGCGGCATTGCCATTGCCTACCGTTCGGGAAGACGTTGTTGATGAAGTCGAGAATGGGCGCATTCTCCACCTGGGGAGCCGTCATCGCCATCGCCGTCGCCCTAGCTCCACCAGAGACTGTGCCCTAGAGCTTAGCTGGCATATTCTCTACCGTTGAGAGGCATATACTCTTTCAAGCAGCGCGAGCAAATTTAGGAAAGCTCTGGCAAGCGAGTGGCTTCTTTTTATCCGCGGCTGTCCTCGTTTGTCGCGAATTTCTCCTCCTTTCTTCCTCACCGATCAATGTCACTCGATACCAGGCTATGGATCTCCTCCTCTTCCATCTCGGATGCCTCCTCTTTGCTCGCAGCGTTCTCGCGATCGCCACTCCAGATTCTAGCAATTCTCTTTGCTCCACGCAGAGATTACCGCTCCGCCACAATCGAATCTGCCACTGCCTCCCGGAAATCTCCTCCAACAACGCGTCATCGTCGCCATCGCAGCACTCCTCAGCTCCATCGCCGGCTCCATCCCCTCTAGCAGGTGCTCCAGCATCGCTAAGCCCTAGAGATTCTCCACTCCATGGCAGCTGCTGGATCCGGCCGGGGCCCTGGAATCACTCCTCGTGGTGCATGTGTAAGGATCGAATGGAGGCGGGGCGCGCTCAATCGGCATTCTTGCGGATCTCGAGCAATCTAACTCTGGATCGCATCGCGGCACTCTTCGACCATGATCACACGCCTGATCGATTGTGCGCGCAATGCTTGTGTCCCATTCTCAATCTATCCTCTTCCTTGGCAGCTCCATCTTCTCCTCCCGTCGATTCTATCGTCGAGGGTTTGTCCCCGTGCGTTTGCGCGAATTGTAGCAGTGGTGACGTTGGACCGCCACCGTGGCATCGAAGCCTGCCAGATGGAAATGCGAGTTCGATTCCTGGGAGCAGCGTTTTCAGGGCCCATGGCCAGCCCCCTCCACAAGTGACAGTTAAAAACATTCATGAGGCAAAACAAGCAGTGTTAACATTTGTTCTTCCACTCCTCGGCTTTGCGGCGTGTGTTATGGTGTTCTTGGGCGTCTTGCTGGGGAAAAATGCGCTACTAGTTTGTGGATCGTCTTCTAGTTCTTTCAGCCATCTGGAAAACTCAATCTGATCACCTTGTGTTTTGGAGGTCTTAAAACTTTTGAAGATCGTCATCTATTTCTTTCAATACTCAATTTGATCTAAATATTACCACTTCACATCACAGCTTGTAAGAAAACAAAAAAGAAAAATCAGTAGATTCGGAAAAATCAGCCTGTTTTCATTTACTTCTCAAGCAAATCCTCATTGAACTTAAGCTAGAGCAAGAGCAAAAAAAAATCCTGCGTTTTTTAAGCAAAGGAAGAGTGGAGGTGGAAGAGAAAACTGGATGAACTCTCAAGCAAAGAAAGAGCAAGAAAATTGGAGATGGAAGAATGACCACTTATATGTGGAGTGCCGCAGCGATGGAACCAGCCAGTGTGAGAACTTCGAAGGGTGGTTTGCCAATTACCTCCTTGACGGTCTCGGGGCAGGAGTCTGTGATCCAGAAGTGCGAAAATTCTTTCTCGCTCTCTGAAATGTTATCGTGTCAAGTTTCCTGTAACGAAGAGAAGAATGGAGTCTCTACGTACCTCCTGCCGCGTGAAGAAATCGCTCCCAGGTTTGCTGAGGGAAGACGCCGTGCGTGGCGTAAGCACTCACTTTCGTGGCTCCATTCGCTTGTAGTACTTTCTGAAAGACGAAAGATACTGCCTAAGAAACGATGAAGAAATCTTACAATGCACGAACCTGGCATTCCTTGAGAGTGCCTCCAGAGCGCACCAAATCATCCACAATGACGACGTGCCTTCCAGCGGCCTCGCCTTCCTTCAAGCGAACGATCCTTTTGTTTCCATCTCTAACTTTCGTACAGATTATCTGTGATCCACCATCGAAACACAGTTAGAGATCACTCGACGAACTCACGAACTTTACCGTGGGGAAGTGCTCGAATTGCTTGTTGAAGCGCTTCCAAGCTCCCTCGTCGGGGAAAGCTATAGTCACCTGCAAGAGATTTTTTACATCGTTGCAAGCTCTCTCGACTTAAGTCTCACATTTGTGGAATCCGGAAGCTGGTGTAGGCGGTGCTTGAGCAGCGGGATTCCACTCTCGAAGCAGGGAAGAACGCTGTCACCGAAGTAGAACCTCTCCTGTTTTACAAGTCCGGGTGAGCGAGGCTAGGAGAAAGATCGAAAGGAAAAGAGAAAGCAAACCTGGAGTGCGTGGATGTCAAAGATGACGAGACTTGTCGGGCCACCCCTCGAGATTGGAATGTTGGAGAGGATCCGAGCGAGAGTGAAGGCCGTGGCAATGTCACCCTCGTCTTCCATGCGCTCCGACGTTCCAGTCGGGAAGAACGGCACCACCACCGTGAAGGAGGCGATGAACATCCTGGGAAGAGCGTAGATCACCGAGAGCTGCTCAAAGATCACGGCAGGGGAGCTGAAAGATGCGAGGAATGCAACGTGCTGGCCACGGATCCCATGAGCATTTGGCACAAACAAGTTTGGAAAGCCATCCTCGAATGTGCTGAAAGAAAAAAGAGACAGCCATCCATCGATCGCTCAAAGAACAAAGCAAGAAATCCACTTACTTCCAGCGGATGGATTTGAGCTCGATGGAATCCGTCTCGGCGGCGATCCTCCGTGCCAAATCCTCGTACTCGCTGCAATAGAAGAGCTTCACCTCCTTGCGGTTTGGCCTGTCGAGGAGATTGCACGCCAGCTCCGCCGCTGGAGACGCCGCCAGGGCAGCCGCCATAGGCAGTGTGTGCATCCCTAGCGCTGGCTCCCCCGCCGCCACTGCCGCGGGAATTTCACGCTCCATCTCAGAGACCCTAGCCTTACCGCCGATCCGAATGGGGAGCCCCAGCGATCGAGACGCTGTACTCGATCCTCCCGAGAACCCACGTGAAGCACAAAAGGAAGGGTTCTTCCATTGTAATGTCATAATGCTAGGGAGATATCATAAGCTGTCCTTTATATTCGTCCCCTGTGACAATTCAGATGATGGGACTTCTCCGTGTAGCCAGTCGTGCGGACTTCAGGATTTTCACCTGAAGCAAAGCCCTGTTCTCTTTACAACTAATCTTCCAGATAGAAAAACACACCATACCATTCATGCATAATATCTTTTAAAAATGTAAAACATTAATATTATTATCTTACACATATTTACTTAAGTTAAACTATAATAGAATATTCTAATATAATGTTCAAACCAATTCAAAAGCTTTTAATTGTCAACTAAATAATTTCTTAAAAGTTTAAAACATTGACATTATTTGAACCCTATTTATTTTGGATAAAATAAAATAAATAAGTAAATTTATCAGTTTTTGGTTTGCTTAAGCAAACTTGTAGAGGACTGGGATGGTAATGGATATATTTAGAATATATTTGAATATTCTAGGATATTTTACGATCTGCCAGTTATTAATCATTTAGATTAATCTTGTATTTATAATTTATACACATGTTTATAATTTATAAACTTGCTTAAACACTTTCTAGTATATTTTTTGTTTGCTTAAGTAAACCTGTAGGGGGACTAGGATGGTAGTGAATATATTTAGAATATATTTGGATATTCTAGGATATTCTACCATCTAACAGTTGTTATTCATTTAGATTAATTTCTTATTTATAATTTATAAACCTTCTTAAACCATTTCTAGTATATTCTTTTTTATTCTATTATCTAAGATTAATCTTGTGTTTATAAATTACAAACAAAACTTTATTTGATTAATTGATCTAATGGTTAATATGCAATAAGATGAATTTTGTGTTTGTAATTTATAAACTTTTATTTTATCAATTGGATTAATAAGTAGGAATAACACTACTATTAAGCAAATCAAGCATTGTTACATGCAACTTGTAGAAAATTATTCTTATTTTAAATTAAAAAAATTAACCTCTTTAAAAAATTAATTATTTAAGGTTAATTAAGATTCACAAATATATTAAATTATTGAATGTTAGTAAAATACTTAGGTCATATAATATTTTATTATGATACAAATTTTATTCATTTTATTAATAATAGTAACAATAATTATTCATTGACTTTGTGAGTGCATGGAATATGGAAAGGGAATACAGAAATGTGCATATCAATTAGCCCAAAAACCCTAGCTTATATACAGGAGCGAGTGGTTCGGATTGAAACCAATCCGACGGCTACCAAAATCCCACTACGCTAATATTAGTATACGGCATCGTAGCCGTACACTTGCCTCTCACATCATCCCCTCCTCTCGGAATAATGGAAAGCCATTAGGGTTCTCTTGTAGATGGGCCGGGATCTGGAGGAACGTCAGGAGGAGGCATCGGTGGATCTATAGACGGTATTAACTGCTCCTGATCCCTTTGTATGAAGCATTTTAACTGCTGCACATGCACAATCTCTAGAGGATCGGCCTGCTGAACGTCATGCCAAACCTCATAAACTTGTGGTCCAACTTGCTGCAACACCCGATACGGTCTTTTCCACTGCGCAAGGAGCCCCTTAGATAAACCACATACCGTAAGATGGGGAAAACGGACTAACACCAAATCATCCACTTTGTACTCCGCAGGTGGACGATGATGGGAATTGTAGTGCCGTTGTTGTCCCACTTGTACGCGGCCTAAGTGTTCAACAGACTCTGCTCGGACAAGTGGAAGAATGTTTGTCAAATATTGATCCCATGACCTAGCATCAGGAGCTCGTGGCAATCGCGAAGGTAAACCCAGCTCTGTTGGTAATATTGGATCATGACCATATAAAAATTTATATGGTGAAGCACCAATAGAACTCAGCACCCCTGTGACATAGGCATACCGAAGAGATGGCAAATAACCATCCCAATCCGAATGCTGAAAGTTCACATACTTCGCAATCATCCCTTTGAATGTCCGAACGAGCCGTTCCACCAGACCATCTGATTGTGGATGATAAGCACTCGTAAAAGTGTAGCGTATCACCAACCGAGATGTCAAAACATGAAATACCTCAGCCATAAATGCAAGACCATTATCCGAAAGAATCCGCTTTGGACAAAAATGCTGGAACACCACTCGATTGAGGAGAAAGTAT